AAAGAGAAATTTATTATATTTATATCCCACATTTGTTCCTTGAAATAAAGGCGGAATATAAATTTGTTCCTTTGTTCCCGCCTTTGTTCCTATTCTCATCCAAATTTCCAACATGAATGCCAACTCTAAAGAACTGCACAAGCAGTTACTGGCATAAGAGGGAGGCTTTCTCTGGAGCCCTCAAAATCAGTATCTGGGGCTTCTGGCCAGCTACCTGTTCCAGTATCCAGGACTTGGACAAATAAGTGATACTTTGAGGAACAGATGAAAACTCGGCAAAAAATTGGAAGCACTTGTTAAAAACAATGCAAAAGTGAAAGCAAAACATGTAAGCATCATCAGCATTACAAAACAGAGGAAAGCTTTCAAATTTTCTAAGGAAATTCCCAACTACAGAGCCCATTTCAAACTAAACTGAGGGAACCTTGTGTATTTGTACTTTTGTACAAAGTTTGTACTTTTAACAAACTTTGCCTGGTCAGAAGGCTTTCTGTGACTGGATTCAGATGACACAATAACCTACTGTGGTTTATAAGTCATGGTGGGTCAATCTGTTGTCCAAACCCAGAACTGTTCCCCTGAAAAGATAAACTAGGATAGTTCATAATCCACCCCAGTTACCCAAGGCTTGTTATAGGATTTAAAACAACACTCACACTGTGCTGAGCTCAGACAGCATGCCAAGCCATAGTCAAGCCCAAAATTAAGATTCTCTTGGGAGAGCACTCTGCGTAGCTTTTCAAAAAAAGGGGAAAATGGAGTGGGAAGTGTCCCTTCCTCTTGCCTGATCAGTGCCTCCTCCCTTCCAGGTGGTGGCATGTCATGGCCGAGATGTGAAGGCCGCCTAATGCTCCCTGCCTAATTGTCAGTTGTGATGTGCCATAGTAACTGAACATAAAGCAAAACAAAAGGTGAAAGAAATGGGGTCAGACTCCTGAATGCAACTTTTTCAGTTTGGCATGCTGACAAAAAACTATTATAATGGCCAGTGCAAAGAAACTGAAGAGAACAGACTAGGAAAAACACGGGACCTCTTCCAGATGATTAAAGAACTAAAAGGAAATTTCAAACCTAGATTAGGAATGCTGAAATACCAACAGAGGTGCATACTATCTTACCAGAGGAAAGTAAAGAGAAGCTGGAAACTATATACTGAATATGTGTTAGAGACAGAGTCCATCAAAGAGGAATCTTATGTAGAAGACTCTGCAATATCAGAAAGTGAAGAGAAAGCTGCTCTGAAAGCACTTGTACGAAATAAAGCACCTGGAGTACATAGATACCAACAGGACTATTCCAAGCTGCAGAGATGGAATCAGTCCAAATCCTAAAAAGAAGATGCCCGCAAGCATGCAAACAAAACAATGGCCCACAGACTGAAGATGTTCGATATACATTCCAAACCCCAAGAAAGGAGATGCTAAGGAATGAAATAGCTATAAGACTATTGCAAGCAAAGTGATGCTCAAGGTGTTAAAACCAAGTATTTTACCCTATTTGGAGTTAGAAATGCCTGCCATTCATGATGCATTCCAAAAGGGAAGAGGCACTAGAGATTTTATTGTAAATATATGTTGGTTACTGGAGTGCACCAAAGAAGTTCAGGAGATCAGTCTATGCTCTATACACTACAGCAAAGCCTTTGGCTGTGTGGATCATGAGAAGCTATGGATGGTTCCAAAAGAAATAGGTGTGCCTCAGCACTTGATTGTACTGATGTGTGACCTGTATTGTAGACAAGCCACTGTTAGGACAGAATATGCAAAACCAGAATGGTTTCCCACAGACAAAAATCAGATAAGGGTGTATTTTATCTCCCTATTTATCCTACATACTGAAGGTATTATAGAGAAAGCTGGATTGAAATCAAAGGAAGAAGGGAGTGAAAATTGGCAGAAGATGCATCAATAATTTAAGGAATGCAGATGATACCATATTAGAAAGCTGCAAAGAACTGAAATGACTCCTAATTAAAGTGAAAGAAGAAAGTGTAAAGGCAGGATTGTAGCTGAATACTAAGAAAGCAAAAATCTTGAGTACAGAAGAATAATGCAACTTTAATGTCCAAAGTTTCCCTTCATGGAAGCCAAATACACCCTGAAAATTAGATCAGGACTGGCTTATGAAGATAAAAGGAGTTCTTGGTTACTAAAACTAAAGTATGATTTGATACTTGAGATCAGCAACAGATGCCCTTCTCCGGGAACCCTCTGGAGGGTGAGTATCCAGAGGAGGGCTTTCTCTGCAGTGGTGCCCCATCTATGGAATGCGCTCCCCAGAGAGGTCCACCTGGCACCGTCATTATTTGTTTTTCGGCGCCAGGCTAAGACCTTTTTATTTAAAACTTACTTTAATTGTTAAATTATTGAATTAATTAAGATTTTAAATTTTTAGCCGAGAATGCACCAGGGGTTTTTAATGTTTTTTTAAATTGTTATATTATTATTATTTATGTATGTTTTTATGTATTCTTTGTGAGCTGCCCAGAGGCTTTGTTGGGATGGGGGCGGCATAGAAATGTTTTAAATAAATAAATAAATAAATAATCCTATCCCAGTAAATAAGGGCAGGGGTGAAGAGCACATCCTATGTAAGCGAGCAATAGCATTTCTTTGGCAAAGTCCTGATAGAAGTCATGGCAGCACAGATGGTTTATATGGCACCTACAAGAAATTACACAAGGCAGGTTCTACCATTAGGCAGAATGAGGTGGCTTGTGGATGTCATTAAAGTGCAACGAATTGTTGTTATTGTTCTATTTTTACTCCTGAAGGTAAATATAGGTTTGCTGCCTCAAGATCCAACTTAATCTGGCTGGCACTGGGTATTATGCACCTTGCCTGATGCAGAACAGGGGTGTCAACTGCCGTTCTGCCTTGGGCAGCAATGTATATTTGGCCAGTCTAAAAATTTCATATTCAGTTTAAAGAATAGCAATTCCTTCTGACTTAATAGTTTCAACCTACAGAGTAACAGTCCCTTCCCCAGACAAAAAACAAAAGCAAGGACTTAGGCAGCCCAGGAACTATTTCAGGATCCTTCTCAGATTTTAAAGCTCTCAAAACATAGCATAAGATGCCGAATAACCAAGTCTTTAGTCAACTTCTGCCCCTTTTTCATGGTGTCCAGTGTCCAATGAGGCATGTTAATTTCTTGAAGATTTCACACAATTCACAGTTCAGAAACTAACTAGCACTCAGCATGTGGTTCACTTTAGGTTTTTGCCTAGAGTGCTCCTTGATCTATCACTTAATATGTTAATTATATCAACACTGTTGCACTTACGAAAAACACATGCCAGCAATATCTTCACATGGAATCTTTCTGTTTGCCTAAAATGCTATAGATGTTTTTAAGAAAGTGGTATTTCTTGTCTGTTCAATGGCTAGGCTGCAATTGTTAACACACTTGCAAGTGAGGAGCGGCCACCAAGCGCAGAAAACATGCACAAGATCGTGCCAAGACTTACTTTGTTCTTAACCTGAATGTTACTGACATGTCGAACCACATTTTCAAATGATAATGCTTAAATTGCCAATTAATTCTATTAATATTCTTGAAAACAGAGCTGAGCAGTCTTCTTGTGTTTTATTTTTGTTAAAAGCATCAAATAAAAGTATAGCTACAACATACTTTTGCAACATACTCCCAGCAAACACACAGGTATTGTAGAATGTGGGGGAGATCTGTACTTCCCAAACGACAGGACTGAGAAAAGTGTATTGTAAAGGAGTTGATAGGTTTCAATTGTATTTTTATTTTATACCAACTTACTTTAAAATAAATTCAAGGCTTCATAAATTACATGAATTAACCAAAATATTCATTTGTTGATCAGTTAGAGCCATTTTTAATCAGCAAGGCTAAATAGAGGAGACAAACGTTTTGGGATTCTTTGTTTTTTAGGCTATTTGCGCTTTGTTAAGTGAAACAGAAAATACTGAAATATGACTTTTAAACAAACAACAATTGCTTTTGTTTATTCAATTTTAAGTTCCAGTCTCTCAGAACACACTTAATATTGTGTTTCTAATGATCTGAAACTGTATTTAGATTGAAAATATCAATTATGAATTATAAGGGAAATTAAGAGTGCAATCCTATGCCTCAATAGTGGGCAATGTGTCACCCTTGAAGTCATCTGTGCAAGCCAAAACAGATGCCCTGCCCCTAATCCCCTTCTTCTGTGTCATAGGGAATACAAGGAGAATGATCCACACATATCAGGAGTGCAGGGAACACAGTTTCAGGACACAGCAACAGGAGGAAGAGTGGGTGCACGTGTGTGTGAGCACGTGGCTGGCCTCTGACTCACTGCCTTATACAGCTGTCAGGTGGGCAAAAGGTTGCAAACCCTGAGTAATACACGTCTACTCAGGCCTACTGAACTCAGTGAGATGCACTTCCAGATACTTGTGCACTGGACTGCACCTTACGGGCACCCCTCTATACAAATTATGCAGCTGAAGGTAGGAGCAGAGATATGCCAGAACAGCTAGCATAACTGCCCAGCTTGGGATGGAAGGAAGAAAAGTAAATAAAAGAACAGCACAAATGTCTCCCAGCCCCAGATATCCCTGACAATACTGCCAAAGCCTGTGTCAGCAATGACACCAACACACCACCCACACCATGAACTCATAATGACAAGGACATGCCACCCGCCATGCATTTTGGCATCACTACACATGCAGTGATGCCACAGTGCCACCAGTCTACCAGCAGGGAAGAATCCAAATCCTGTTACTCACAACTGTCCCGGAGCCCATCACATACATGAAATGTTGCCCGGCCTGCATAACACAAAGTAAGAGGGCTTTAGAGAGTGCACACCGTCATCCTAGGACAAGGATTCATAACTTACCAGGGAAAGAAAGAACCTTCAGACATGAAGCCAAGGGAAAATGCAGAACATGCCAAAGGGTGCCACAGCCAGTACTTCAACTCCATGAAGCACAGGGTAAAGCAGCAGGAGAAAGCGATGAGAAAGCCCAACTCACATTTTGCATTCCTGACCCAAAACAGTTGCATCAGAGGCAAAACAGAGGGTGCTTCCAGGTCTCAAGCCCACACTTGTAGACTCCACAGAGCAGCTTCCCAGTCACTCAGTCACAGCAGCACAGATGTATCATGGGGTATTTGTCTGTCTTTCTGCTCCTTGCTTCAAAACACAGTTATAGATGCCATAAGGCACAGTTCATGTTTTACATACAGGGCATTCCAGTTTCAAACCCAGGATGTAGTCATGCATTAAAACAGCATGGGCAAGGGAGACTATACACCCAGGCACACTTGAGAGTCAGGAGCAGTCCTGCCTGCATTAATCAGATGCTTTGACTAGTCCCTCCACTAACGCAATCTGCACACCCCTGCTATTCTGCCTAAACAGCCAGCCATGCCAGGTGCCTCCCCACCATAGGTTCCACTGCCTCTCTCTTCCACTGGCTATCTCGTCTATACTGGCAGCGGTACCCATCTCACTCAAAATATGAAGGCAAAATATGCCTCCTTGCAGACAAGAAAGCAAAATAAGCAGGCGCTGAAGGGGCCACTGCTTTTGAGTCCAACCCTGCAGCCCCCCATCCCCAAGTCCTATCTCATGCCGAGCTGAAACCAGATCAGTTTAGCGTGGTAGAAAGGAACTCCTAACACTCCCTAGCAATAAAGAAACAACACACATGGAAAGGTTGCAGTCTTTATTGAACAGACTCTGAGACAGAATAGATTGTGGAAGGGAAAAAATGCATGAGGATGCAAGGTTCCTGGGCCATGGACAGGCAGACAGCAGCAGGTGCAGTCCTCCATGACACCAGCTCCATAGTAAGCGTATCTTTACCTACTGCATAACTGTCAGGAAGCTTGCAAAAATAAAGGAGTCTGCCTGGAATAGGTTAATGGCCCAGTGATGAATAGCCTGGTCCCTGCTGCTGGTCACAGGGTGGGTGTTCTTCAAAACATGGTGTCGTATTCTTCTGTACCTGTGGAACAGCAGCCTGCAGAAAGCATGGGCAGACAGAATAGCAAGCACAGTCAGCAGCAGAAACATAGATTTCCCGAGCTTCAATGCAGTTTATTCACCCGAATATGCCAGTATCCATGGTGGAAACAGACTGCAGTGACTGAGCATACGCACCTCTTTCCCCTACTCTTCTGGAGGAGCTGTGTCTGTTTGGTGGTATGCTTTTTCTGCTCTATTCATCCAGGGCATTAATCCTGTAAGAGAAAAGCACGCATGCAATGGTTGGAGTGTCTGGCATTTGCCAACAGAGAGCCTATCTGCACGCGGGAATAAGTGCGCCCCTCTGTCTACAAGGGACACTGCTCCCTAGTGTTGGGGCCAGCGTTCAGACAGGATGTGGTATTAACAAATAGCAAATGGGATAGGGGAAGATGTAAGAGACAGATGCAGAGTCACACTCTGCAGTGTGGTTACCCCATGCAGAGTCATACTTTGCAGTGTGGTTACCCCTTTCCTGTGCTTACCTGTGTAGAGTTGTCTGTCTTGGAATCCCAGGTGGAGTGGTTATTGCTGGTTGGACTGCTTGGGTCTTGAGTCCCAAGATGAGGCACCTATAAGAGTTCTAAGCAAATAAATGATAGCAATGTGCCCAAGTTTTCCTACAAGTTTTGAAAGCAGGCTGTTTACTCCAGATGCTCCTTTCTGTGCAAAGTGTTTTGGTGGGTTCTTTGGTTTACCCCACTGCTTTCTGGCATCCTTTTTGAAGTTCCCCATTTTGTTCAAGTCAAAGTGCTCCAAGGGGATCTCTCCAAGCTGGGAAAATGGGCATCAAAATAGCAAATGCAGTTCAATATAAGCAGGTATAGAGAAATGAATGTTGCTGCAAAAAATCCCAACTTCAAGTATATGCGATGCGATCTGAACTAGCAGTGACTGAGCATGAAAGGGATCTTGGGATAGTAGTGGACAACTTGATGAAAATATCAGTCCTATGCTCAGCTACTATGAATGTGGCAAACTCCATGCTAGGCATGGCATCATTAGGAATGTAAAAGAAAATAGAACCGCCAAAATCTTACTTCTCTTATACAAATCTTTGGTGTGATTGCACTTGGAATGCTGTGTTCAGTTCTGGTTGCCTTACCTGAAAACGGACTTAATTCAGTTGGAAAAAGTACAGAGATGGGCAACAGAAATGGTCAGGGAGGTTGGAGCTGGTACTCTATGAGGAACAGTTACAACGGGGACTGTTCAGCTTAGAAAAAGGTTGAGTAAGGGGAGACATGACAGAGGTGTTTAGAATAATGTACAGTATGGAGAAAATAAGGAGGTGGCCATTTTCTCCAGCTCCCATAATATTTGAACCCAGGGTCATTCTGTGAATCTGACTGGTGTGAGGTTTAGGACAGATAAAAGGTAGTATTTCTTCAAACAGTGTATAGCTAAATTATGGAATTTGCTGCTGTGGGAAGTGGTGATCACCACCAATCTGGATGGCTTTGGAAAGGAACTGGACAGATTCACAAGGGAGGAGGCTATCGGTGCCTATGTGCTACCTCCTTCACCAAAGGTGGCCTGCCTGCATCCACCCATTGCTGAGGATCTTGGGCAGAAGGAGGTCTTGCATCCTGCGGGCAGCTGGTTTGCCACCATGTGCACAGAGTGCTGGACTCAATGGACCTTTGGTCTAATCCAGCATGGCTTCTCTTATGTTCTTATGCTCCTTCGCTGGAGTTCTCCTTATAAGCTCTTCATAGCAGACATGCATACCACAAGGCCTAGAAGATAACCCCATGCCACACACTCTAATCCAGTTAGTGATCTCCTAACTGGTGTGCTGTGACTGGGTGCTGTGTTATATCATGTCCTATGCTCCATTGTGATGACATGAGTAGGGTTGTGGTTGCTGCTGCTGCAGAGTGTTTTGTCTGTTTAATTCCTTCCACCAGGTACAGGGCTGGTGTAAATTGGTGAAATTAGTAGACGTGGTGTAAATGACTACAGAAAGTTGTACAGGCTTGCTCCTCTCATAGGCATCTTCTAATCCTGCCCATGGTTCTGTTCTATTTTAACTCTTTGCCATCATCTCTTTCATGGTGAGTGTTTTGTCAGTTCAGCAGCCATGGCAGCAATGTAACAAGTTCTGTCAGCATAGTGGGGTTTCCATCAAATTCGAAGGTTCCTCAGCCAGCATAAGTGAAAATCATAGAATTGCACCCTTGGTCAACCAAAGATTAAGCTTTTGACAGTCACAGTCTGGTTTCTGTTATTGTCTAAAAAGTTTCCAAGCACAACCAAGCCTTTAGGCAATACTAAAATATAAAACATTTTCACACTTAGTTCTATACAAATTGCTTCTTTTAATCAATCAAGTCCCTAGCCTTAATGACTAAATGATTGTTCTCATTCCATAAGACATAGCAATCTGAAATGTGAAAGATGATCAAATAATGTTGTGCTGTAAATTGGGGAAAGTTAGTAATTAACCTGTGTTCTCTTACCTCTTAGTTTATTGTCATGATGAAGATATTATTTCAAAGTGCCAGAGTGGGAGAGAGCTTCTCCTGACTCACACAGGTCTTTGCAAGAATTAAAACAACAGGGAAAGGTATTGTTCTGGGGCCAGTTGCGGAAGTTACTTCTACAGAAAGAACAGCACACTACATTTCTGCTTCTGACCAGCTGTCTGAGCAAGCCTTCTGAGTGCAACAATGAAGTCCCTGTGATGTTATTAGGCAATCAGAAGAAGCTACATTAAATAAAAACAATTCAAACCTTACTCTTAAAAATTCGAAGAATGAGTTCAGGCCAGAATATTCCAGATATGTCGTGGAGGGGTCTCATCCAAAATAGTGGTTGAGCACAGTTCTGATAGCAGCCACAGTAATCGTTTCTGTCAAGGGATGCAACCTCAGGGAAGAATTAGACAAACCATTTGTTACCTTGACATTGTTTTATAAAGGGTAATCAGATCAGAGATGTGCAACTAGTTGGACAGTCTGATTATAATCTATTGCTTTATACAGCAAATAACTATTCAAGGTTGCTGCCTCATCTCTTGCTGTGCTCTAAAAGCCACGACAGAGTAATAGCATTTTTGGCCCAACTAAAATGTCACTGCTTTATAGAGTTTGCCTCTTCTTCAGACCGGATATCAAGCAAAGCAGGGAAAGGAGAGAGGAAAAACTGGGGATGTTGTTGATGCAGATTCTTTGGGACATCAATACCTTGGCCCTAACTCTCCTGTCCCCTTGTTGCTTTGCTTAATATCCAGCCTGAAGAATTCTGGGAAACTGAAAAGCCTTCTCACTGTTTTGAGACAATTTTGTTGATGCTAATAAAGGCGCTACCCTTTGGTGACATTTGGATTTTACTTTCCTGTATCAATGGACACAACATAATGAAACAGATAGACAAAATCGACATTGTAGCATTCAGAGAATTTCTAACAGCAATTTCTAACATAACAACACAAAAAAAAAAAAAAAAGGAAGAGGCAATGTCCATGGCAGGGTCATTTGTTGCCAAATCCACACCTCAATTTCCAGAAAAACGTAATGGTACAGTTAACACCTATGTTTAGGCTGCACATAAAATAGGCTTGAGATTCTAGAAGCCCAAGTTCTAGAAAACCACAGTAACCTGAGAGGCAAGTAGGAGCATTGACTTTATTGTGTGTGGAACCACTCATGACCCACCAAACACACACACAATACTTGAAAGAGAAGTATCCGGTCAACCCCACAAGTACTGCACAATGTAAGAGTTCTATGAGCAAAGCTTTCTGATCTGGCCTTAACTATGTATTTCAAGCGTTATTTTATTGGATAGAATTTTTATAAATAAAAATATTACAAGGCAGGCCTATGCTTATCAGGACTCTTGTGAATACAAATTACTGATCATGTCTACTGCTAACAAGTTGGCAAGAGATATAAATGATTAAGATCAGATCAAAGCCCAGCTCTTTATAGAAAATTCAGGAAGTCTTGAGACACATGGTACAGATATAAAGACATTAGTGTTAGCTGCAATTAGTGTATTCTTTTAAAGGGAGCATTAATCCAGTTAAGTGTTCATAAATTCTGAAATAAGGTAGCAGAGATGAGAGATATTCTTCCTTTGCATTTCATTTCCTACAAGAGTAAGACACAAGGGAGCCAGCCTCCATATAGCATGCAGAAAAAGAAAGCAGAAAGAACTTCCTGGAAGCTGCTGCCTCCACCTCCCACAGTAGCAAGATGGGAGGTTGCAATAACTTTTTTTTCCTCTCTCTGGGCAGTGAAAAGTTACTCTCTTCCTCTCTCTTCTCTCAGCAGCTATTTATAACAAAACAGGCAACCTCATCCCATTTCTGCTCCAAGGTGCCAACCAACTTCCAGAGAGCAATGCTATATATCCTGGTCTTCTCTCCCATACCCGAATAACACCCTCACAAATTCACTGCACTCTTTTTCATATTGTCTCATTTTCTAAGTGGGAATCACACTAATTCCGTTGTCCATTTATAGCAAACTTCTCTCCAAATCCTGCACCCAGCACTATAATGACTTGATTTGATTCCTGCAACTAACCATAATCAAATCCACCTTACCACACTAAGCAAATCATTTTTAAACTACTCAAGACAATTTTCAGCAAACACTGCACCACTATGAACAGCCAGATGGCTTCCTAATATCCTCTCCTCCCAAGCCCTGGCTTGAACTACCTAACCCCTGTATCTCATTTCTACCACGCAGTGACATTTTTTGTTTTTATTTAAGGGGTTTTCACTAATTTAAGGCTTTTCAATAACATCTATTATGCAGAAGAACCTCAACACAGTTTACAGGCAGTTTGCCTTTCAAAACAATCTTGGAGCTCTTGGAGATCCTCAAACCCTCTGAACCAAGCAGTCACAGCTATCTTTTTATTCCTCATAGAAGCCCAATCCTGAGTTAGCCTATTTCTTCTTACATCCAAGTCAAGGATTTCTTCACACGGAGTACCTTTTTGTGCCAAATAAAACAGTGAAAATCAGGAGTTCTAGAATCACAAAACAGCAGAGTTGGAAGGGGCCAAGAAAGGCCATTAAGTCCAACCCCATGCCAGTGCAGGACTTCAAGTTACACTATCCCCCCACATGACTGTCCAGGTGCATCTTGAATTCCTCTGGTGTGGGAGAGCCCACAACCTTCCTAGGTACTAGGTTCCATTGTCATACTGCCTTGACAGTGAAGAATTTTTTCCTGACAGTGAAGAAATACTTCTCATTGTCTTCTACTGAGCAGCCCTTCTAAATGATGTGCCTTCCCAAGCCTCCTCATATATTGCCAATCTTCTAACCTTAAGCTGAATCAGCTCCACACCTGTTTCTATTGTGCATCTAGTCCTCCCATCCCTGTTTATATATCCCTCCCCCCATTCTGTTTCTTTCAATGAGCCTCACTCAAACTTAATTCCTCTGTCTATATCTAGCTTCTACCTCAACTGCAATTTACAGTACTTTCTCCTTCTCAAACTCAGGCATTAACTGAACTCTGTTATCAATTGTTATCTCCTTGTCTATATTCATCTATTGAATGTCCCTCATGTGATATTAACTTCTCTTTAGTCAGCTTTCCATACTGAAATAGCATCCTATTTAAGTCTTAGTATATATGCACACATGATACTATTCCTTAAAACTCTCTCACTAATATCACCCAGGCCAGGATCCACTTGACTCACACACACACTTAAATTGTCCTACAAGCCTCTGCAGTTCGCCTCTACCCATCCCCTCATCATTTGCTGATAACTCAGGTCAAGTTATCCCTTAAATCACACAAAAAGAAAGCAACCTACCTTTTGCCCCAATGGCCAGGCCCATATCCTTTCACTGCTCCAGGCACAGACCTAATGCTCCCTTCCTCAGCCATTAACTCCCTTTTCCCTACATTCAGGCCAGTTTCATCCAAGGCAGGAAGCCATCATATTTCACTCTTGAAACCAAGTTCCAGCAGCAATCTCCAATATTCTTCTACCTTCTCAATCGTAACAAGCAGTCATTCCTCTTGCAATTGATACATCCCTCACATTCAGCCCATTTTAAATAATTGAATCAGTCCTCTACGACTAGCATCCCACCTTTCCTCCAAGGCATTTTGGATGACATACCTTCACAACCACCCTGCAAGGTATGTTAGACTGACAAATAACAATGGGTCCAAGAGAACCCCATGAATTCATGGCAGAATGGAGTTTTGCACTTGGATCCTAATCTGACATTCTAGCCACTTGACTACATTAATTAAGCCCACTTTGTTTAAAAATCAAGTAGGTATTTCCAGTTTAGATCTGCTAAATGCCTTCCTTCTCTATGCAAAACTCACCAATGATCTGCCCACAAGTTCATGTCTAATCATCTGCCCAATATTTTGCTACCACTAATGAACATCTGAGTGACTCACCTGCCATGTTTCCTTTTCTTAGTCCCTCAAACCTTTTACCAAACTAACCAGCCTCCCACCAAGGCTACATCTTTATCCTTACATGTCTATTTTTTTTGAAATGTATGTCCCAATATTAAGATAGTTCATTTTTTCCTGACACATTTCCTGCAAGTCTTCAACTTTATACCTTGTATCCAAATGCAGAACCTTTTCTCAACTCCTGCCACTTTATCTCTTCCCCTATCCTTAATGCTGCCTCTGTTTGTCCCCAACTCTGCTTACCACTAGACATGTACCTAATACCCAGTCTATGTTCTCAGGGAGGTCCCCACACATGTAAACCTACCAAAAAAACTAGGACATCGGCAAAGCACCCTCCCAGTTACCCAGATGAGTCAGATTTACCCCCACAGACACCTGCTATTCACAAACCTCAACACTACTCTCTACCAGGAAACCAATGCCTCACAGGCAAAATCTGCTCCATTCTCCCTGCCTCCCCTTCTTGCTCTTTGCATAACTTCTTTATTTATTTGATTTGTACTCCAGCTTTCCACCAAGCAAAGAGAACTCAAGGCAGCTAACAATCCCAGGAACCAATTTAAAAGTACAAACTTGAGTAAAACATTAAAACAAATACATTAAAATAGTTTAAAACACAGAACAATAACAGAATAAAAACAGATCTATGCACATGCCGAAGGCCTGCTTGAATTAAACATGTTCTTGCGTGACAACAGAATGGGGGTTTGGCCCTTATGCCAGTTGCACCGCTTGGGAGCAGCCAGAGGGAAGACATTCTACCAGGACCCCACCAAACAGGAAGGCCAGGCCAAGAGAAAGACTTTCCTCCAAGCTCATGAAACCTGGGGGGGGGGGGGCGATGTGGTTTTTGCAGCACCCTGGTCCAGAGCCATACAGGGCTTCACAATCAACTCTCTGAATGGTGCTCAAAAAGAGCCTGGTAGCCAGTGAAGTTGTTGTAACAAGGGAGTCCCATGTGCCCTGTAACCAGTCCTGATCATATCTGGCCACAACACTGACCAGCTGAAGTTTCTGAATAGCTTTCAAAGGCAGCACTACATAGTGTTACAGCAGTCCAAGTGGGATGTAATGAAGACTCGCATGACTGTGAGCACATCAGACATCGGTAAGAATGGGCATAGTGGCCACACTGTTCTCAGTCATACAAATGCATCCGTGGCCGCCACCGAAATCTTGGCACCTAGGTTCAGGGCCAAGTCCAAGGGCACGTCCACACCAAGAGTCACAGTCTTCAGGGAGACTGCAACCCCATCCAGCACAGCTGAGCCCCTCCTCTGCAACTGGCCTGTCGACTGACCAGGAGCACCCCACCTCTTCAGGGTCAAGCTTCAGCTGGTTCAGTTTCTGATTCAGCAGCACTGGACACGGAGGCATGTCCACCCAGAGACAAGCCGAGCCGGGGTGCAAACGCTCACCCCACACTCCGCAGTATTCTTCAGGACTCCAGCCAGCACCCCCTCCCCGCACACACGCAGAGCTACACGACTGATCCATTCCTCACCCCCGTGTCCTACCCTGAGCCCCGGCCAGCTTGCAGTCCTCGCTGCCACCTCCCACTCCCAGACCCCGAAACCCAGGTCCTTCCCCCAGACCAGTCCCACCTTCCTCTCGCCAGCGCGCCAGCCTGCCTCCCATCCTTCCATCACCCTGGGGCGAGCCCCTAAACCTAGCCTGGCTCTTCATAGTTTACAACTCAGCCCAAGCTCTCAGCCTCCCACATCCAACTCAGCCCAAGATCTGCACCCGGAATCCACCACCCACCCGGCCGCTCTGCCCCCTAGACCGACCCACCCACCCCGCGGCTAAGCCCCCCCACGGGTCCACTTCCTCTCACCTCTTTCGCCACCTCACCGAGCCACCCCCGGCGGGCCACCAATTGCAGTTCCGACCCGCCCGGCTCAGCCCCCCACGACTCAGCGAGGAGTCCTCACCCCGCTTCGGCCTCGGCCGCCCCCTCGTGCCCCCCCAGGGTCGCCCGAGCCTCCCGCGCGCTGTCCGGTGGCTCTTCCCCTCCCACCTCCTCAGCCGGAGTCTCGCTCACCTGCTCGGGCGACAGACAGAGAGGTGCGGCGGACGCGCCGGATGCCTCCCGTCGACGTTCCCTTGGCCGCTCTCGCTGCGCTGAGCTGCGCGGCGCTGGCTCCCAACGCAGCCAGCCGGGCTCCCTCGCAGGGGCTGGGATGGACAACTGCTTGCGTGCGGAGGGAGAAGGGAGGGGAGGAGGCGGCAGCGAGTGAGCGAGCGCGCGAGCGCCACCCACTCGTCCACCGCCGCCGGATCCCGGCGACGACAGCCAGGGCCGTTGCTGAGGCTGCTGCTCCTCCCCCTCTCGCACGCGCGCAGTTGCCAGAGAGCGGGGAGGGGCCGAACGTACGTGCGGGGGCGCGCGCGAGGCTTTCGCCTCCTCCCCTCGCCATTGGGCAGCCACGCCCCTCCCTGCCCAGCAACCGATTTCTTACTGGCTCGCTGGCTCGCGGGGACCGCTTCGCCCCACCCGTCTATCAAAAAACAGCTCTCGAGTTGGCGGGGGCGGAGCTCCCACTGGGCTGCTGCCCAATGAGAGGCTCGCCCGCTCCTTCCTCCGCTCTCCCTCCTTTTCCTTTGCTCAGTCGCGGCTGCTTCTAGAACTCCTCGGCTTGGGTGGGCGGGGCTTCCACCGGAGAACGCGGGGGGGGGGGAGATCGCGCCTTACGCCTTGTAATGCGGCGCGCGTGCTCGGAAGTAAGTTCCGCGGAGCTCTATGCGGCTCTGTCTGTCGGAACCCCGTTTGGGATTGCGGCTGGCTCCGATGCGTGGTTACTCGGGAGTAGGCGTACTCTCCCCAAGACCTTATCGCGTTGCGGTTAGATCGTATCCCTTGTTACTCGGGAGTAAGTCCCAATCTATGGAAGGAAGCTAATCTTCCCAGCCGGTGTTGCAGTTCGGTTGTGTGCATGTGTACTCGGAAAGCAGAAGCGGCATGCAGATCTGAAAGCATGTTTCGAGGCGAATAATTCCATTTGATTTCAGGGGGAGAAACTCTTCCAGTGAAACGCGTCTGGGGAGTGTTCAGTGTGAAGCCTAATTAAAGCAGGCCCACTGAATATACTTATGGTCCTTCTTTATGATGCAAGGAACCCAAGGTGGTTTATGTGGTTCTGCGTTTTATCTTCACAACAACCCTGTGAGGTAGAGTATCTGACTGGCCACAAGTCACCCAGTGATCTTCCAGGCCAAGTGGCAACAAAAAACTGAATCTTCCAAGTCCCATCCCACTCAAGCACTCCGATCACTACGCTACACTGACTAAAGCTACTCTTGACTAACCTAAGCCTTGATCATTTCAGTGGGTCGACTTAAAGGAGGCTAGGGTTGGATACTGCCCCAGGAGTGCTGCTTCAAGAAAAGCAACTCAAGGCAAGGCTCAAGCTGCTTCATTTAAACTCCACTACACCCAGGGAGCAAGAAAAACATACCTGTATGCAGCAAGGCATATTCTAGTGTTGTAATTACCCTGGTGGGGATCTGGGCTGTCCAGGTGCATATTTAGCTTTGACTGAGGATTACTCATACAGAGGAGATTCTTGGTATCCTATATATGGAAATACTATCTTTTCAAATGTATGACTTTGGGCCAGTCACTGCCTTTCAGCTTAGCTTACCTTGCGGGGTTGTTGTGAGTATGAAATGAAGAGGTGGTGGTTTGCATAAGCTGCTTGGGTTCCTTTAAGGGGGGGATAATTGTTACAAAATATAAATAAGCATGGTCTGCATTTACAAATATTTTTGAGTGTTACAAAAGCAAGCCTTGTTTACCTGTTTACATAAAAAGGTACTCAAACATGTTGTTTCAACACATTAGGAAACACTAGAAATCATTTTTATAACATTAAAATAGTCACAACGTGAGAACAGCAGAAAAGATTATATATCAAACTACTGGCATTTTGTTAAAATTCAAGGGGAAAGGCAAGTCAGATTTCATTGGAAAAGGTCTTCTAAAGCTATGATGCCAATACAAAAAAAGCTCTTCTCCACAAACCATCATATTTTCTGTGAGGATAAGCCAGATTTCAGGGCATACCAATATTTATTTAGCTAGTAGTAGTTACTCATTGTGGATGGCAAAATGATAGATAAACAAGAAAGGCAGACATGCTCAGTTCTTACTTTGGCTCAGTCTTCTCCCGAAAGATCCATGACCTTCCTGATGGAGGGGAAGTGCAGACTGAAGGATCATGATGGCAGCTCAAGATTGATAGGCAAATGGTCAAGGATCGTCTAATTGGGCTGAATGAGTTCAAATCTCCAGGGCCCAATGAACTCCATTCCAGAGTCATAAAAGAGCTTGTGGAAGAACTCTCAGAACCACTGTCGATTATTTTTGAGAAATCATGTCAGACAGAGGAAGTACCAGATGACTGGAAAGAGCAAATGTTGTCCCTATCTTCAAGAAAGGAAAAAAAGAACATGGAATTACATACGGGTTGTTTTACATCAATCCCTGGGAAAATTCTGGAGCAGATTATAAAGCAGTCAGTCTGCAAATATCTTGAAAACAATGCAGTGATTATTAGAAGTCAACATGGATTTCTCAAGAAAAAATCCTGCCTGACTAATCTGATTTATTTTTTGGATCGGGTAACCTCCCTGATGGAGTGTGGGAATGCTGTGGACATAATCTATCTGGTTCAACTTGTCTCCTGCACTGAGCAGGGGATTGCACCCAATGGACTTCTGGCCCCTTGATTCTATCTTGACTTCAGCAAAGCTTTTAACAAAGTGCCCGGTGATATCCTAATTAGCAAAGTATCCATAGGAGGGCTGGACGGAACAACTATCAGGTGGATCCACAGTTGGCTACAGAATTGGACTCAAAGGGTGCTCATCAGTGGCACCTTCTCAAACTGGGAGCAGTAGCAAGTGGGGTACTGCAGGGTCGGTCCTGGGGCCAGTGCTCTTCAACCCTTTTATTCACGACTTGCATGAGGAAGTGGAGGGAATGACTATCAGATTTTCAAATGACATAAAACTGGGTGGGATAGCAAATACCTTGGAAGACAGAAATAAGATTCAAGGCGATCTTGATAGGTTGGAACAGGCAAACAACAGAATGAAATTCAATAGGGACAAATGCCAAGTTCCACAACCAGGAAAAAGAAACCAAATACCTCATTACGAGACGGTGAATACTTGGCTCAACAATGCTGCAAACGAGAAGGATCTTGGAATTGGTGTAGATCACAAACTGAATATGAGTTAACAAGGTGATGTGGTTGCAAAAAGGGCAAATGATATTTGAAGCTTCATTGATAGGTGTATCACTTCCAAATCACATGAAGTACTGCTTCCCCATTACTTGGCACTGATTAAGCCTCGTCTAGAGTACTGTGTCCAGTTCTGGGTACCACAGTTGAAGAACAATGCAGACAAGCTGGAAGGGGTTTAGAGGGCAACAAGGATGGTCTGGGGACTGGAAACAGCCCATGAGAAGAGGTTGAAAGAACAGAGTGTGCTTTGCCTCAAGAAGACTGAGCGAGATATTATAGCGTCTGCCAGTGCTTGAAAGGCTGTTACAAAGAGGACGGACAAGATCTCTTGATCATTTCAATCACTGCAAGATGTCAGACACGGAAGTGGGCTCAAATTACTGGAAGCAAGATTCTAGCTAGATACCAGGAAAAAGGTTCTGACTGTTAGAGCAGTACGGC